ACATAATATGGAGTTTTGGTCGAATGCTGCGCCCCCGTGGTGAACTACCCCGCCGGCCGGTCTCGGCCTGTTTGGTGTGGATTCTTCCGGGGTCTGTGGAGTCGGGCGGCGGTGAACTGTCTCTGCGCTTAGGGAACCACATGGAGTAACTGAACGGGACTATCAAGGCTCATCCAGAACTTCAAGCCAACCAACAGGTGAGGAAAAGGCGCACCTGGCGACGACTACGAAATAATGGCGCTTGAACGACGTCAAATTCCCCTGCTCGTGGCCTTGGCATGCAGAGCTGCGCCATCCCGAGGGCCCTTAGTTTGTTACGGCCCTTGGGGGCTCCAGCGGTAGAAATTGCCCAGCCATGTCAGAGAAGGGTAATGTGAGGCTAAGTTACCGAATCAGGATAGAGAAACGCTTCCATCCATCCACCTTTCTCTAGCTCCTGTATGCATGCCCACATATTCCGAACTACCCCTGTCGAGACCATCTTCAGTGGCACGCTTGGCAGTAGATGGACCATCTCGGTAGATGGAGGCTGAATAACCCTTTCCAGCCATCTGCTTGCCGGACCCCCTCCGAGCATGCTTGAGCCCCCAAATTCGCTCGAAACCTTGACTCCTTTCACTAGCCTCGTCGTCGTGAGCGGGCCCATCGGAAACCCTATAACCAAAGCGGCAAATTTCAGAACCAGGCTATGCATTTCGTGGGCGGCCGTGACAGGTAGCAGCTTGCCTTCTGCTCGAGAAGAGTTGGGAGACGAGGATTATACTCCAAGATGAAGAGAAACACAAGGCCCACGAGTCCATCTTCCGAGGCTGGAATTCGATGCGAGCCATAACAGTCACGGAACAAAGAGCCTTCAATACCGTATTGGCAGAGGTGGATAAGGCTCGGATTACCTCAGTACGGGATTTCTGCTTCCCATCTGCTGATCATCTTGCAGCACAATGGAGTGTATTCCTTGCCCTTACTCCTGTTGGACTCTCAAGCCCTTTTATTTGAGCATGCAGCCTACATTCTAGCTTTCTTAACATTTTGAAATAGTCGCTGGTCCAATTCAATTGACTCTCATAAAGTCCTTCTTAGGTATTAATACAGCTGTCTGTTACTCTTTTTTTTGCGAAGCTCGTTGTATATCCCGCAGCTCCTGCGTCTCCTTTTCCAAGCGAATTCCCGTGGCCGCCGTCACTTTCTGGAAAACCTGGAGAACCGCCTCGTGTTGCGATTCGTGTGTCAGCTTTCGTGCACTCCTGAACAACGCCGCGATGAAAATAGGCTCCCATTGGCCTGGATAATCATTGCTAGTCGCGATACCAGCAATGCATTGGATATGCCTGGTAGAGGAAGCTACCTGGCTTCCGTCGTCGGCGACTCGGCACAGCCGCGGCTTGCGAATCGTGAGAAAGAAGCAAGCCGTATGGTAGGCGACGTTTGCTACCACCGCCAAGGGCAAAGAGAAGATAAGGATAGGAAGATGACAGCTCTCGTTGCGGCTGATGCGCGTAGCTTCCAGGATATTTACAGACATTGTCGGCTGCATTTCCACGGGTCGATCGCGATACCAGTCTTGACATTGGTGCCACAAACTTGTCCAACTCTCACTAGGCAAAGGATACTCTTGGAAGACAGAATCCGTGAATGCTTGAGAATGCTCGCTCCGCGGCTTCCCAGGCTGCGTGTAGATCAAGTCTAGAACTTTGGCGAGAAGGATCACGGAGGAAAGGTACACGTATCTCAAAAGATAACGGCGATCGCCCTCACGGGGTATGCTCAGGAGGCTCGCCAACGGCACGGTGATGCTGAGCGGTGTCCGGGACATGAGGGAGGCTGCAATGTCTGGAGGTTGGTTATTTGAATCAGCACTGTCACTAGAGAGGTGTTACATCTGCAGTATTTACTCATCTTGACAAGTAATCAAAAGGCGGAATTCGTCAGATCCTGTTGCGTAGGCATGAAGCTCACTATTTCCTGAAATGACAGGCGCTGCGTGACAAAGTCCCTCCACTGGTGAGGTCTCAAGCATGAAAAGTCCCTGAATAGGAGAAGGCTTTGCCGGACATGCCAAAGGGGGTTTTCCTTTGGCAAAAGAATCTGATCTATCTCCTGTTGGGGGCAGATCATGTCTTCCACGTGCCCGATCGTGCTGCTCTGTGTCCGCAATGCGCGATGCCGGGCAGCAAGCGCAAGGATAGCGTGCCGGAGGGACGCCTCGGAACCAGCCAACATCGGGACTTTGACGCTGAATGAGCACCATGGGTCGCCGACATCTAACAGAGGGGAGACCTGATAGCGATAGTAGCGCAGTAGAGAAATCTCTGAGCTGACGGCTCGATCCGTCATAGAGGAACCTGGATCACCCGGGGCAGCTGGGAACAACGCGTTGGATCCGGGACGAGATCCGACGGATGGCGACACTCGTGCGGGCGATGAGCAGCTAGTACGTCTCGGTGGAAGATCCAGGCTACCAGCAGTGCCTGTTTGGCAGGTGTCCATCGGGAGGCTCTCCCCTTGATCAAATGTGCCATCGTCGAAGACGAAGATGTTGCTCGGCTCAACAGGTCCATGCGGCTGAATGCCCGTCTGTTGGGGCTGCCAGGCGATTGGGGAGGTTTCGGGACTCGAAGCTTGAAGATGATCAAACGAGCCATCATTTACAAACTTCAGCTCGTCTTGGTCAGCTTCTTGTCACGTACTCTGAGCCACCACGGATTCATCACGTAACACTAACCCTGAATTCACGCTGTGGGGGCACCGAAGCCGCCGAGTTATCGTTGGTTTCCACAACAGGCGCTTGCTGGACGGAGGCGAAGATGAAGGTCGCAGGGTATTGGCAAGTTGATCCTTTGGACAGACAGTTGTCGCAGGTAGGCCTACGCTCATCGCCTACACACCCAGATAGTTAGATATTGCAACAACTCCCAGAACAAGCCGGCCACTCACATTTTCGATGACGTCGCCGGCACGGCCAGCAGCCTGTTCGGACACGCTGCTTGGACTGTGGACGATTTCGTGGGCCGTCGTCCCCAGGGGACGCACGGTTGGCCATGCAGTCGAGAGTGCCTGCAGCATTTGTGCAGGCGAAGAAAGGGACTGGCCGACAGCAGAGTCGGGCGTGCTGTGTCAGGACAGCCGCATCCGAGTCCCGCGCTGCTGTAGCTTCCTTGTGCCAGCGGTCATTAGCGTTGCCTTAGGTAATCCACGTGTTGTGCCGGTTTCTGACTGGCCCGCTGGGGACACGAGATCGGGTTGGCCAGCCTCCGGGCGGCGGGCATGGTACCGCTTACAAACCTCATTATACCTCTCATTGCAAATCTGTCAGCACGGTCCGGTGAGTTCATTGGTCTTTGGATTATCACGTGATGAACTACTCCACTATCATCTAGATTCCCAATTTTTATTGCTGTGATCGCCGGGAACACTGCAACACGTACTGGCAGCCGTCGGCTTGAATCATACCGGAATAGGCTATGACTCTTACGTCAAGTCCTCGAAGCGGACCACCGTCACCGACGTTCTACCCCCCCGAAATCTGCTCTGGGGCCCCGACATATTCATCAAAGGAACCATGCGCTGTAAAAGAGTCCGAAGCCGACGTTGTCTACCTCGGGACGTTTCCGCGACGACCAGACCACGAGAGCGATAAGAATTCAACACCAGACTCCAACACAGCCGATGGCGGAATCCACAACCCCAAAAATAGACGCAGCGGTCCTGACCGACGAACCAAATCTAGCCAGGTGACGGGCAAGGGCCCGGGCTGCAAGACGGTACCAGCGTCGATAAGAAACCAAAATATTCGAATAGGTTATGCAAGAGACTCCAAAAGACAGGTAAATGGTTGTTTCGACGAGCAAAGACGCTTCCGCCGCCTGGTAGAAGTTGACTTTGGCGGAGCGGATCCATTCATAGTCTGGAAGCCGATCCCACACGAACAGGTGCTATACAGACGACCGTATCAAAATAAGTCAAGTCGACAGGTGCGAGATGCGGTCCAGCAGCGATTGACGGAAGCATCCATTAGTTCAGCGTCCCAGGGAGAGATATAACTGTCTCCGCTAACACTCCATTCACCGTACCTAGAGTTCACTCGCTTGCAACAAAGCAGTAGCTGTCACATCAGTTTGAAGAATCCTGTGGTATTGGTATTTTCTATAGGGCATCTATGGGCAGGCCAAACCCTGCCCGTGTTTCTCACATTCAGTATTGTCAGGCCGCTCTGTCGGAATATTAGGAAAATTCTCTTTCCGTTGGATAATGATGAATGTAGGATGAGTAGAGATTTATCAGAACGTACGGCGTTGAAGGGCCGAAGTCACTAGTAAGATGAAATCTGGACATGGCACAAGAGGCTGCGTCTCGACTTAGCGAACTTGGGAGTGATCGTGGACCAGGTCGTGTATAGTACGGCGTATCTCATCAAGTGGGACTCGAACCGGCCCTGTTGGCGGTCTAAATCTCCAGCGTTTGCCGGATATCCTCGAGCGGGACCCTAACCGGTTCTGCTTGAGGCAGTCGAGGACCTAACCGAGAACACTCACTTGATTCTACACATGGAGGAGTACTACCAATTACTGTAGTACGCGCATAGCAGTTATACTTTGTCAGATGAGATCTCAGGTCAGGGCTCCTAATGCCCGGCCCACAAAATCTGCAATCTCTAGCGATAGTTCTGGTCTCCAAGTTCGGCCCCTCGATGACCAACCCCGTCTAATTCTGTTCGAGGCGGCGCTGAGTAGTTTCGTTGGTCAAGCTCGCTTGGACAAGCGGTCCAGCGGTTATGCCCATGATTAACGCCATTCCACCCTGTAGATGCCATTTCCTGAGGTCTCCCGTTATAATCAGGACTTTTCCAATAATCTGGGCTTGTTTATAGCTGTGGATAAGGCGGACTTGGTTGCGTATAGCTTCCCGTTGGTTGTTTCTGCTTCCCGATGCCGTCTAAAGAGGAATAGACCTAGGCCAACATATATAAGGCCAAAGCAAACAGCCCTAGAGCAATGCCAACAATACCACCAGTTGACAGCGATGTGAAGCCTCCACCATGCTCAGCCGTAGCCGAAGAATCTAATGATAATTTCATTGTCACTAATGATGTTAAAGTGGACCGTGATGACCTGTCCCGGTAGATGTCGACAAGTAGTCGGCGACCCTGTGATGCCCGTTAGCCTTCACGCAGTCGGCGGGTGACTCGCCCGAGCTAGAGAGTCGCGGTGCCGGGAGAGCGCATGGGTTTATGGCGAAGAAGCGGCAGGCGTGGAAGCGGCCCTCAGCCGCCGCGATATGCAGTGCCGTTCGCCCTTCATGGTCAGCATGAGCGAGGAGTCTGCAAATGAAGACCGAGTGCATAGCCGCGAAGTAGGGTGGGGGTTTAATATCTCTGTAGTGTTCGTCGCTCTCTTCTGTAGCGGCACTGAGATGCATTTTGAAGACGTGCGATACTAGCACGGTCATCACAGTCTCGTCTGCGGTCGCGGATGCAATCTCCAGTGCCGTGTGCTCGTCGCCGTCCTCGTCGAGCACCAGTAGAAGCAGCGGCTGCTAAAGACTACGGCTCCTACACTCAGGAACGTTCATGAAGGCGTGGCACTGCAAGGAGCTCACCGTGCAGACAAGCCTTCTCAGACAGGCATAGAGTTCCCAAGTGACATGATCGGTATGTCAATCAAACGGCCCAATCAGTGAGCTACAAAGGACTGACTGTTTGCGTATTAAGACAATGAGCATTCCTATACTTGACGCCACGCATTTGAAATCCAACCGCAGCTGCTGTCCTTCTCGTCAACGTGAAGGCAGTTAGATGTCACGCGAGGCCAAGATGGC